CTAATAGGACGATTAGGAGTTGATCCAAAAGTACTGGTAATCCGACACTAGCGATGTATTCTATGTGAACTAACTTGTCTCCATGCGAATCCCCAAGGAGACAATGACTAGACGGGAAGGCGAAGGAACAGGACTACATTTTGTAGACTTACTCCAAGATCCTTCTCGTCAAAAACACTTCGTAGGACGATCACGCGTTCCTTCCTGCCTCGAATGAGCTTATTTTCATCCGGTTTCCACTTAAAGAGACTGAAAAGATACACTCCCACTTCCAAAGAGGACAGTTCATGCTTGATGAGCTAGTGTGGTACACTTCAAACTCACTTTTCCTGCTTCTGCTTAAATATCTTTTTCTCCTTCGCCGTCAATCGACGATGTTTGGTATAGTCAAAGTCCTTTTTAGGTTGGAATTTTGCGCGTTCCACATGCAGAATATAGCCGGATTCGTATTGCAGTCCATCCAATATCTGCAGCGCCAGATCAACTGATTCAATCTAAACGGTTAAATTTTGGATCACACATCAGTTCTGCTTTCAGCTACTAATGCTAGTGCTGATTTCACGCAATACACACCTTAATATAGCAGCAACGACCATCGCCCTTGGGCTTACCAGCCTCATCACGGTATAACTTAATCCTCAACTTATTTGTCAGCGGATCATTCATAATCATGCCACATTTTGACATCAGTGCCGTGAATTCCGCTTCTGTTATAGTCGGCGGAAGACCTGACACGTAAACGTGAGTGTTCTTATCGTCGGTTATCTAGGAGAGGAGTTAAGCCACAACAGCCCTACCTCATACCACTCCGGGGCACCCTTTTTCTTCCTCTTCCTTGAATGACCTTCTGAGCAAGTTTCACCTTTCGATTGAACAGCATCTATCTTCTCCTCCTCTGGTTTGGCGATGGGAACACCTAGTCGCTGTTCTTCTTCAGCTCGCCTCAAAGCATCATCTGCTGACATTTCCACGACCTTTTGGGGACGACTTTTTGTCTCCAGACGCACTCGTTCCTCTTCTCTTGCATCTTCTTGTCGCTTTTGGTACTCATCATACCAGACTCGATAGGCAGGAGAACGATAGTATTCACCCAGAGAAGCGATACCCTTTTTCACCTCCTCATCTTCATCGCCCCGTTCAGCTTTCAGCTTTTCAACTTGGGCAGCAAAGTGGCGCCAAGCTGTGTGTGCACTTTCTTGTTCGCTTTGCACACCAAAGTTCATTTGATAGGAAGCAATGAAATCGTCATCGATTTTCGGGAACCAGGCGCGTTTTTCCTCGTCCCATTCCATTACTGTACCATCGTCATCAACGCGTGTTTTCTTGGTCTGACTGGCAGCCAGTTTTTCCCGGTCGGCTGCCTCCTTTTGGAGCCGAAACTGATCTTCAAATTCTTCGTTCGATTCTCGGATCGCTGACGACATCGTAAGGCATACAAACCGTCAACTTTCTAACGCACTAAAGCATGATTTGACAAATTGTAGCAAGAGGAGTAATGCAGAGTAAAATTCACGGTAATTCTATCAGCGAATTTGTAGGAGCCTATGCTGCACAACTACCCATTTGGCAAAGAAAGGGGATCCTGAGAAAACCGAAAATAATGCTAGCCAATGTGGATGTCAAAAAATGCCTTTACTGCTTGAATCTGTAAATAACATGTACGCAGAATAAGCACGATTAAGTTGGCATTTGCAAATACAGAACCTAGGTCGCATAACCAAAATGAGGTCAACAAAGGCCAGCATATAACTAAGTGGAGTTTTAAAAAAATAAGGGCAAAATCTACACAGATAAGCAAAGCAAATTAAGACTAAAGAACTCTATTAATCCGCAGTGCCTTTCAAAGCAAAACATACGAGAATGCGTGCGTAACCCTTCGCATAATTGAAGCGCAAGGGAGGGCGAATGCCAAAAAGCGCTTATTTGACGTAAGCATAGTTAAAAATCTCCCAGTCATGCAAAAACCAACCAGAAGTCTCACAACATCAACCACCAACAGCCGGGCCCAAGATCCAACTGCCCGCTACTTTAAAATAACAATATAAATAAATTAACATCAACACAGTCAGACATAGTTTTATTATGGCAATATATAATCACTATAGATGTGTAAAGGTAGTTAATGCTGTTTTTAACAGGTGAGTGGTGGTCATTCAGTACAAATGCGGGGTTGAAGGCACGTGGGAGGTCTTCCTTGGACCAATGTACTAGACTTGCCTCGACTCTACCCTTAAGGCAAATCTCCATCTATGAGGCCAGAAGTGCTTAAGGGATGCCACAAATGTAGGATCTCAAATGTAATTTACGATATCTTAGTGACTCATTGTTAAAATTCGCATAAAATCGCTAAAATACACCACGAACTATCATGCAAGTCAATCATTAATCCTTCACCATCACCGAAGACTGATGCTGAAATGTGTTTATGCTTAATTTAAACTTCGTGTTTGATTAGTCATAGCCTCTGTCATTTGACTGCGTTATGCACCAAATTCCACCCTTCTCGGCTACGCTTTATATTCTTTACTCAGATGACTAATAAGCCCGTATCGGGAGGTATCAGCGGAGAAAGTAGGAATGTAATAATAAAGAGGACACAAAAGCCGCGAATACAACCATAAACGGATAATATTGAAATGTGTCTTTATTTGCTTAAATGGTGCTTTTTAGAAGAGTGAGAATCAAATTTTGAGCGCCATAGCGGCTGAATGCAATGAATTTTACTGAGACCGACTTTTATATCATAGCTGTGCTCATATCCATGCGGATTGGAACTATATGTCAATGCCAAAAAAAATCTTCATCCAACCGTCTCATTTCGCAGATTTAGGTCAAGTACAAGGAGAGCTAGGGCATGATGCCACACATATATTTAGCTTCCCTAATTACCTTTGTGCTCAGTACTAAGTTATATTGTGCTCAGGACAAATCGATAACGGAAGGAACGAGGCTTAGCCAAACTTGTGCATTCTCACGAATGGGGTAGAAGTGGGGCTATAGCCGGACCTTCGGGTCAGGCTACACGGAGGAGATCTTTAGAGGTGATCGTCAGAATTACGTGCGATCGAG